GAAAGACGCAGACGATAAGCATTCGGGTTGATCTTCTCAACCACCTCCACTGGACCAATCTTCCGAGCCGAAAGCTTATTGTATTCATGGGCTGTGAACCTGTCCTTCGTCAATACGGCCCAAACAAAATCGCCCACCTCAAACTCGACATGGCGACGGCGAAGATCCGCTTGCTTCTTATACGAAGCCGTAGTTGCCTCCAGCCGTGCTCGTGCTGCATCATGTGTTGCCTTGAGATCGGAGATCATGTCAGCAGCCCGGCGATCAACCGAGTCCACTGCCGGTAATGCCAACAAGTCACACGGCCCACGGGGCCGAACCGCGTAAACAATCTCGAAAGACGACAATCCGGTAGCCCGACCAATTGCCGAGTTATGTGCAAACTCAGCCTGGCTCAAACGCTGGTCCCAACTACGAATATTATCACCCACTAGGCAACGAAGGAGGTTACCCAATGACCGATTCACCACCTCCGTCTGGCCGTCTGTCTGCGGGTGGTACGCGCTACTGAAATCCAACTGAGTACTCACCATGCGCCACAAACTACGCCAGAAGTGGCTAAGAAAGCGCGTATCACAATCCGAAACAATGGATGACGGGAGTCCATGCAGACGATACACCTCCCGAAAGAACAATTGGGCCACATGTACAGCATCCGTGGTGCGCTTACAAGGAACAAAATGCACCATCTTCGAGAACCTATCCACGACCACAAAAATAGAATCGAAGCCACGCTGAGTACGTGGCAAACCAAGCACAAAATCCATGCTAATCGCGCTCCACGACCGTGAGGGAATAGGAAGCGGACGATAAAGGCCCGCATTCGTGGCCACTCCTTTCGAGACATGGCACACACGACACCGCTCGACAAACCTGCTTACGTCCCGACGAAGAGAAAGCCAAAAATATGAACGCCCCACGAGCTCAACCGACCTGTCGCGTCCCACGTGGCCGGCACCATGAAGGTCAGAAATCAACTTCTGGCGCAGACTGCAATCCGGGATACAAAGCCGAAGACCGCGAAAAAGAAAACCGTCAGCCAACAAGTAGCCATCGACCGGACCCACGGCAAGGCGCCCAACAATAGGGCCAAAGAAAGGATCCTCGGCATATAACTCGCGGAGCACATCAAAGCCCAGAACTGAAATGCGCATATCGGTCAGCAAAAGTACACGCCGACTCAAGGCATCAGCCACCCTATTCGAAGCACCGGAACGATGACGTAAGACAAAAGTAAACTGCTGCAAGAAGGCCGTCCAAAAGGCATGTCGAGCCAAAATATTAGCCTGCGTGGCTAAGTGGCGAAGATCCTCATGGTCTGTATATAAGATGAACTCGCGATGAAAAAGATAGTGCCTCCAATTGCGAACCGCCCGAACCACGACATAAAACTCGACATCATACGTACTGTAGCGGGACCTCGAGCCCGACAACTTCTCGCTAAAAAACGAGATCAGCCGACCATCCTGACTGAGAACAACGCCAATGCCTACTTTCGAAGCATCACATGAAAGCTCAAACGGCTTCGAAAAATCCGGCAACACAAGCAGAGGGGCGGATGTCAACTTGCTCTTGATAAGAACAAAAGCCTCTTCAGCAGCTGGGGTCCACTCAAATGACGTGCCGGTCAAGCAAT